TACTACTAAAACTACATAGCTTAGAAGTTATGTACCAAATTCAGTTCAGCGGAGGTTTAAAAAATTTGGCTACAGCATAGTTTATTTGTTTCACAAAATAAATTGACATGATTTTCAAGTTCTTAAGGTCGAATGCATTTAAAAGTCAAGTAGTTAACTTCGTTTACTTCTGTTAGAAGGTAAGTAGTTACCAAGTAGTCTCTCAATAATAATTACTGGTGAAATTACAGGCACACGAGACTTTTCCACTTATATCTCAAGGTGACGGGCGCAGTGGCAGTGACATTTGAGCGGCACTGCAACTGTTATGGACAGGCGTGACGCTTACCACCAGGCGCACGACTTGTTCCTACCGTCACTCAGTATCTCAGAAACTGAAATTTAGAAACTGCTCACCATATCTAGCCAGCCTTTGAAAGGTCTCTGTGCAAGGATAGCCTCGGCTTTCTTCTGGCTGCAACCACTGAGCATGGAAAGCTCGTTCAGATTGCTTTTGTTGAGGAACTCGAACACTTTGCGCTTATCGCCCCCCAAGTCGTCTGTGATCTCATTATCAGAGTCGTCACTGAAAATTTTATTGTTTATTTACGCCAACCTATTTATACGTACACATACATGTATATATGGATGGACTAAGGTCTGGGTTTATATTTAGACTCATAGCATTACACGAAATGAGGCCTCAAATAACCGCAGCCAGGCAGTGTGACGCTTCGATGCTTTAAAAACCAGCAGTTCAACACAAACAAACCTCTATATTGCAAAGTAGCTTTTCTCTTTTGTTATTTTGTATACTTTATTAAATACAGAATATAAATTATTTTATATTACATTGTATTTGTCAAAGTGCGCGCTGTGTAGCTCGGTGCCGCTAGACGCCGTTTGCTGCGGCTTGTTTTTATTTTTAACCGACTAAAAAAAGGAGGAGGTTCTCAATGCGACTGTTTTTTTTTTGTATGTATGTTACTCGATAAGTTTGAGAACCGATTTTGATGATTCTTTTGTTGGAAAGAGGGTACCACAGTATTAATACCATTTAACTTTGAAGAAAATATTCCTCCTCTAAGGGTGGCAAACTAGTGGATGAATCCGATTTCGCGCACATTCCGGTAACCAGTTTTAATAAAACTTGGCAAACAGATGTCATTCCACGAACTTTTGGTTTTTTTTTATAAAAAAGTTACAATTATTTGTTTAAAGAAATGTAATCTTATCGTATAGAGGATTAAGTTTATGTTGCACTGCTCATTTTAATACACCGCAGGGTCTCGTCTGGCTGCGGCAATTTGAGGTGACCCTAACGTCTTTTTCTATTGTATCGAAAATTAAAAATAAGTACTATGCGCGAATAGTTTAATAACTAAATTAACCCAGACTTCTTAGAACCATTTAGTTATTACATTGTGGAATGTTCATGTGCATGTACATCTTTTCAAATTTAATCTTTTAAATGTTACAATGATGCATCGAGTACAATCAATGATGTGACAAAATGTAAAAGAAATGAGGTGCTGATGAGGAAAAAAGAGGTGCTGCTCAAATTACAGGCATTACTTGTCAACTTATGTCTCAGATATTTGTGATTTAAAGCTCTGTTGACACTGCAACTGTTACGGACAGGTGTGTAGCTTACCATCAGGGGCACGACTTGTTCGTCCCGTTACTTGATATTATATGCAAAAAAAAAGCATAACAAACACTACTTACCTGTCATAAACCTTATCATCCTTTCCTTTCTTGACACCATAATCATCATCCTCGCTTCCACTGCTACCTCTCCGAACTCGACCACCCTGAGCTGTCAGTGGTTTTCTCACAATTATATTCGTCATAGCTCCACTACTCACTCTAACCACCCCCATGCCGTTGGGTCTATGTGGATGGCCAGAGAACCCAGGACGGGAGCCGAAGAATGAACTGGAAGATGAACCTCGTTCTTCATTCTCTGGGTCGTGTTTCAGAAGCTCATCTCTTGCACGTTCCTCATTCCAGACATGTTTTAGTAATGTGTTTTTCACAAACTGAAAATTTAGTGTTAAAACTTTCAACATGTTATTATTACCTGTATATGTCATTGTTGTTGTTTATTACTTTGTATTTCTGTGTGTTCATACACAATATTTATATTTTCATGTGCTTCATGACTATTTGTTGCATGTAAGCATGTTTATATTAGCATAAATGTATCACCATCAATACATTATAAGTAGTAAATTACATATAAATTTCCAGGTGTTAAATTTTCGCGATTGTTACACAATGGAAATGAAACTATTTTTTGTGATCTAAATCACGTATTTAACCTGTATACCATAATAAATGTTTTTAACCAACTTCAAAATAGGAAGAAGTTCTCAATACGACTATATTTTTTTACTTCGACTTTTGAGAACCGTTTACGATTATTATTTTTTACTTTAAAAAAAAAAGAAGTTTGAAGAGAATATTCTACCTCTAACTGTGGCAAATTAGGGGATTAATCCTGTTTATCGGATTTCTCCATTTTCCGTGAACCGATTTTAATTAAATATATAATTAATAGAAGATTCCACAAACTTTTGATGTCAGTTTTTTTTTATAATGTCGAATCTAAAAGTTTGTGGAATTACATATAGTAATTCCATAATTAATTAGTTTGAAAATGGTTTGAAAGAACTATTTTTTAAAAAGACCTGAAAAGTTTCAGGTTTTATTTTCCTTAAATAGTTCAACAATAGAAAATTGTACACTATTTAGATATTGATCTGAAAAAATAGTTTCAATTCCAATAAGAAAAAAACTAGGTCTATTCAGTTGCAAGTCAGAGTAATACTAACCACAGGAGATATTTCTGGAAACATTTCCAGCATGTTTCTAAATCGCCGCTCTTTTACTGCTGTTGTCAACTCCACTACCTTCTGCCCAATTAAAGATGGAGTAGCATTCGGAATCTGCTTCTTTACAGGTGTTGGATTATCATCAGAGTCTGAGTCCTGCAGTCTAATACGTTTGTACACTATTGGTCCGCGATTTACTGTCTGGTGGCTGCTGTTTTGATATGGTGCAGGCATTCTTATTATTTCTGTGAAATGTTAATTGTATTGGATTAAATTTGTATTGAATTGATATTAAATTATTTTTTGTGAAGTTACTCCACTAGTTTGTTCTAATTATTAATACAAAGATCGAAAAAATTCCTTCGATCCGGGCGGGTTCCGAACCGACGTCTTCTAGCAAACCGTGCCAGACGCTATGCCAACTAAGCCACGGAACGAACCAGCGGACCTTACGAATTTTTCTATGTGCTTGTTGTGGGGTCTTTGTATTTGGTTTTCAACGACTTGTTAGCCATAGCGCCATCTATGAGAAATGTATGAAAGTATTTCGTCACTTATACACACGTGTATTGGATTACTGAGAATATTGCGTAAGGGTAACGTCTTTACTGTTACTTTGAGATACGTTATTAGAAACAGGCCTATACTGACAACAAGAGATGTATGAACTTAATGCGACAAAAAGGTCTGTGAATAAAAATATGTCATTTCAAAACCATTTACGTTGTTCAATTATACAATATAGTTCTTAGTCTACAGTTTTGTTACAGGGTCAAAATGGTTATATGCGTAAAACACAAGACTCGACACGCGCCCCACCCGCACTGACTTTTTGTGTGTTTCACTCTTTAAAGTTTTTTCATAAAGAAGATGCCTACCTAGAAGTGTTAAAAATACAAGGTGGTGGCGCCAGTAACCGACAAGCACCAGTGTTCGACATCTTTCTTTAAATTAATTTCCAATAAGATTTCAACAAGAGAACAAAATTTTCTATCATAGTAACATGTTTCTTATTAGTAAATGCCAATTAGTGGGTGTTCATTATTGGTGAGTTACCATAACTGGTTACGGATAATTTAATGAATTTTTGATGTTCGTTACTGGAGATTAGATAAATTCTTGTTCAGGTTTACAAGACAGTGTTTAGATAACTACAAAATACATACAAACTTACGAGAGAAACAAATGTAGGTCATAAAAACATTTCTCCCGGCTCGGGAATCGAACACGAGACCTCTACGTGGTAGTAATAAATTATACTGTTGTACAGGGTCAAGAGTACGTCAAGCTTTACATTTAAGACTTAAATGCGACTCTATGCCGCTTACGATAAGAATGGTCCAAAGTACAAAGTGCCAAGCTTGATGTGCTTTTAACTGTACATGTGTTCAACAATTAAGCACTCATGGCAATCAATGTCACAATGGCATTATAGGTCTAAGGTTGACACTTAGGGTCAGCGCAAACCGGCGAACGGCGGAGAGCACTGAAGATTTTATGCCACAACAACTGTTATGGACAGTTGTATCGCCGTCCGCCAGGCGCACGAATTGTTCATTCCGTCATGTGGTATAATAAAAAGAAAAGAGGGTCCACCAGCGTATCAGTGTCCTCTGGAATTCCGCGACATCCGCTGACATCCCACCGGTCGCTCGGACTGATTCTGTTCCACTAGCGACTATGCAGTTGAAAAGTCCGCATAAGCATGTGCCTCACGCCGCGGCATCTTCTGGCATGCTTTTCAATGCCGCAGAGAGAAATGCAGCCCGATGCTCCGAGGTCGGTTTCAGAACATTGAAATTTAATTTAAACCTTATTTTAATTATAACATGCCTCCCGTACGCCGGTTTGCGCTGGCGTTTATTGGTTAACACTACATTCTTATTTTTCAAATTGCATTTATTAAACGAAAATACATAGGTCTATTATACTTCTGAACAAAAGCCTGGATTCCACTTGGTGGGTTAGAGACAAGGTAAACAAGTGTAGATTCTGTTGTTCATCTTCAGTATTTTTCTTTCTCAAAATAAATGTAATGAAATTCCATGTACAATATTGTTTATTAATTTTCACACTAATTAATATCAATCTCACTGTTACAAATACAAAAAGAAGGGTCTTAAAGTTTGAAAAGCCTTAGTTATCTGTTTGTATGTCTGTGGCATCGTAGCTCCCAAAAGGGAGTGACTAATTTCAAAGTAGTTTTTTTATTTGTCATTTAATATAATCAGGATGACTTTTTGTTGTTTCATGAACTGATCTATTCAGTCATTTGTATATCTGGTCAGTCATATTTTCCCAGTTAGGATGAGATTCTCAGGGTCGTATTCTAGAACTCTACTCAATGCTCAAGTCAGGATTTGAGTATGGTTTAAAGCCCTCGAAATCATACTCAAGTCCCTGCCATTAGGGTCGTATTTCCAGTGCTTGTGTTTCCAGTGCAATCCTGACTTGATCATCTAGAATACGACAGTAAGTCATAAAATGAACATATATTTAACATCCATGTCTGAACAAGTTGAAAATTGGTATACAATGGGAACTGACAACATTACTATAATATGGTGACCTTAATCTAATGCTAGGATCATGTGCAGACTACCCAACTCCTCAACCTATTGATGAAGCCTAGAGTGCTGATCTTTTGGTTGCAAATTTGACAATTTCACATTATAATAACTATTGTAACTAAGTAGAGTAATTCTACCACTTAAACTCAGACCCATCATGTTTGTGGGCTCAGTGAATTGGTTTTGATGAGTTGTTGGCTTGCTGATGGTGATTTTATCGACTTTTGGAGTGTGCTACTTTGTGCCAAGATTTTTTAAATTTTAATTTATAGTCTATCTTTTGTTTTATTATAATGTAAGTGCGCATTTAACCTCCATCTCACCTGACGGAACGTCACTTTCCTTGAGGTCGACTGTGGAGCACGCACACCTAAATAATGCCTATTCACTCTCGCCTCGAAAAGATCCAAGTTATAACGTTCAGGGAACAAGTCCGCAGGCAGGGAATTCCACTCCATAGCCGTTCGCCATATAAATGTGGAAGCGTAACGCTTCGTGCGAATCTTTGGGATATCCACAACATAGGGGTGGAAGCCAAGCCTGCGCCTAGTCCCCCGATGATGGAAAGGGGAAGGTGGAATTAAATCGTGTAATTCCATCACACACTCTCCGTGATATATCCTGTAAAATAAGCCTCTCACCTATAAGCCTCTTGCCAGGCCTGTCAATTGAATCCAAGGTGGCCAGTTGATATGTAGCAGAGCCATCCCAAAGGTGGCAACAGTACTTCATACATGACCGGACTTGTGCTTGATACAGCTGAAGCAACTGTCCCGGTGTGAAGTAACACCTCACTCTGGAAAGGATGCCAAGCTTCCTGGCTGTATTTTCGGCCATGGATTCAATATATCTGCCGAAGTTCAAATTGGACGACAGATCCATTACAAATAGCTGGAGATGGTCGGCTATCAGTATGGATATATCACGAAAAGTCGGAGTCAGCTTAAAGGGACTCCATTTAGTGGAGAATAGACACGCCTGCGTTTTAATAGCGTTAAATTTGACAAGATTGGCATCGCCCCAATCGGAGACTGCCTTGAGCGTCAAATCTAAACGGGTCTCTCGACAAGACAAGATTTCCTCTCCACTGACCTTTGTATTGGTCAAGTACCTATTTACAACTGTGTTGTCATCAGCATACGCAAAGGAACCTGGAATTAACATATCATTGATATACAGCAGAAAGAGAGTTGCAGACAGTACGGAATCCTGAGCAACTCTATTGCCATATGTTCGGAAGAGTAGCCTTCTACATAAGACCATTCGAATGGAACGTTCACTCAAGAAATCTGAGATCCGATTGCAAAGGTCAGTGGGAAGCCCATAACATGGAAGCAAGCTTAAAAGGCTTGCGTGTCAGACCTCACAGGCAGTCTTTTTTGAAGGCAGAGCAAAATTACATTTGTAGGGTTGCCAGTTTTCATAAAATTTTAAATAGTTATGTAGTTGTTATCGACAGTTTTATTGATAGATTGTGAAGGGATAAAAAAAAAGTCTGAAATGTGAATGTTACGACATTCTAATGATTACTAATTCTTTATTGCCTTCTTCATTCTTATTTTGACAATTGGCCTACTAGTATCAAAAATTAATTTTTATTCATACACATTTTAACAGAACATGTGGATTTGATTATCCATATTGAATTGAAAAGAAAAATTTTAAAATATGTCTCCTCTTTGTATTTTTAATAGACATAGTTCTAAATGCAGTCTAAATCAAAATTAAAAAAATATTGATTATATTGATGATTTAATAGGTTAGCATTTATTACACTTGAAATCGTCACTTTGGTTAAATGCAAACACTCATTCGTAAGGCACATTCCCCTGAGAAAAAGAAAAAGCAGTATACGTATGAACTTACAAAAATTAACAAATCAAATGAACCCATGCCCAGCAGTTGGGCGAATAATGGGCCGATGATGCTACAAATGAAACGAATTTGACTAATTATTGCATTACACATGCAACCAACATTAAACCAACATTAAATCGATAGAATATTTATCAAATGCTATCACTAGCTGCTTGTAAGCGGGTAATTTTATTAGTTAATTATTAGTCAAATTTTTCTTTTTTTTTTTTATTTATTTTTTATTGAGGCTTTAGTATCTGGAGTAATTTCAAAGAAGAAGAATACTTGATATTATTTCACTTGTGTTTCAATGTGGAAATCAAGTGGTCCAACCAGTGAACAGCTCATGCAGCTGATGTCACACTGGTGTTTAAGCTTCTAGATAAGGTATGGAGATACAATTGTCCTATTACAAACCATGAATTACACACCAATTGGAATTATACAGTAAGGTTATTCTACTGAGTATGCATAGCTTCACATACAATTTGTCAGATTGTCAAATACTGATAACATTACATTAACTCAATGTTTACAGTGTAAATTTATGTAAATATTTTAAAAGTACTATGAAGGTTATGTATAACAAATAAATAAATTAAGGAAAGGCACTTGACATCATTGCATTAATTTAACACTACCAGGTCAATTGTAAAGCAAATTCCTCTGAGAGGAATAGATGTCGTCGGCTAAATCCATAAGCCTCGTAACATCCACTAATGAAAACTTTTGAATAGGAATAAAAACAGAATTACTAGAAATAATTACGTAACAATCTATGATTATACCTTTAGTTTGTCGCTAAACATGGTTTACAATTTACATTTTCAGCTTTAATTGTCCGATATTGCACTTGAAGAGTAAAAAAGGGATTTTCCAAAATTGGCGATATGAGGTTTTAAAATTTAGCAGACGATATTTGTTTGTACTTACAATACTTCACACCCTTTTGCCATCAGAGTAGCTAGGTTTAATCCAAGCCCAGATAATTTTCTCAATGAGTTATAGAGAAAAATGTGTAAGAGTATTAAGTAGATCTAATATCTCAGAAACAAACATCAAAATACAGATGTCTAAAAAAAAAAAATTTGTCATGTTTAGTGCCTCCTTTCATTTAGTCCAACCCCTGAGAGCCTTAACTGTGTAAATAATTAGTTTAATGTCTGAGTATGTTGACTTTAGTTGTGTAAGTCGGATATTATTCAAATAGTCCATTGCAAAGAAGAAGAATCTGAGGGTATGACCTAACTTAAATCACTAGGAATGGCGAAATGCACGTTTAAATTCTTCGAAGTTTTGTAATGCGAATCTCTTCACGTATGCGGGATATCTTACGATGTTTTACTTGGTAAATGTCGGGTATTATCAATTGAAAAATCTAATCTACATATGATTCTTAATCGATTTTTAACTTGTCTTTACTTGCATGAGCAAAAAAATTTACTTTCGTTTCGTACAATATTGGAGGAATCCAAAAGTTACTATTAATTCATCAGACATATTCTGATCATTAAAACGAGCAATAGCAAGAGGAAACGTAATTTTTAAGCGTAACCGGCACAAAAAACTAGACCTTGGCTATTATATATACCTGGGTCAAACTCCTCATGGGAGCAAATCCTGAGCACGTGGACCCCTTACAGGGAAGCTGCTTCATTAAATTCCACTATGTACTTACGGGAACTTGATGGAGATGCTTGCACAGTAACGGAACCACTCGATCCAGCTATATTAGGTTTTCGCTGAAACCTGTACTGTCTCAAGTAACTCAACGTGCTAGGACTATTCCCGTCCGACATCTTGATTCACCGCTTATTTCTCACTTTATTTAAAAGTTAATCTTCAAAAGTTTATAGACAACAATTGCAAAACTTTTACAAAAAATATGATTATATGACCGCAACACAGCACGCAGACAACTCGGCCATTTTTATCCGCGAGACTGCATGAGGAAAAGTTTAGACCAATCACGAAATTGAATTAATGACATTTCAGAAGTTTCACCAATCAACGTATTGTTTTTTATTATTGGCCAATAAAGTGAAAGAGTCGGCCTTTTGGCCAATAGAAATAAACGAAAATTCAATATTGCCAATTTGATTTAATTTCTAAAATTATATCTCTCCGAAAAAATAAATTTTAAAAAAATAATAGAAAAGGAATACTTGTGAAAATGTCACGAAAATTCTGAAAAAAATGGCAAAAAAATATTTTCAACTACTGTGTTTTTTTCGTTCTCGCAAATAATTATCCTGATTACCTTTTTTATTTAGAAGTACATACTTTACGGTTTTTATAATGTTAGGAGATAGTGATATGTTATAGATAAATCGGCAGCTCTACTAATGTCATTTCTTCTGTCAAAGTAATAGGTGCGGCCATGTTGAACTGTAGTGAATAAAATTGAGTTAATTTTGCTTTTAAGGAAATAAAACTGACACAATATGCCCAAATGCGACCTCAAAACGAGATACCTCCCCGCGACGTTCGCCTGGGCAGTACTTTTGGGCACGACGTCTTTATTTTTTTATTATCCGTAAGTATACAACATGTCGATCAAGTATAATCTCAATTTTGGTTTGACAACTTTCACACAAGATTGTTGGTTGGTTTCTAATAATAACTTGGGGCTGTGCTTGTGCCCTACGCGACTTTGTATGTCGGTGACCGGTCCCTTTGTAGTTGATATTGTTTTGCCTAACTGGTCATAAATTCTGGTTAGAATGGCTGGATCAATTCATGTTTCAGCAATTATTGTCTTATTTACATGACTTTAATGTTCATATTAATTAGTTTGCAAGGCATAAGTGATTTCCTCAGGTGTTTTTCATTAATTAATATACAAAAGTGTTGTGCAAATTGCTACTAACTAGAAATATTTGCTATCCCAGAGGGGTAGCACTGAGTCAATATCAAACAACGCTTTTGTGTACACAAAATTGTGTATGAATTGTGTAATTCAATCTCATTCTAATAATTTGTAAAGTGTTGTTACACTGCTCTTACCCATAATTGAATCCAATTTTGATTGCATTTTAAAAATATTTGTAATTTGCTTAGAACAATTCATCGTAAGGTTATAGTGATTCATCACTGTACTTTTGAAAAGGAAGTTTTTGTTAATATTTGTTTGTTATTTTGTTACCCATTCTTTGGGCTACATGTGAAATCAATTAGTTATACGTCTCTATCTTAAACACTAAATTGTTACAAAGATCCTGGCTAACAATAAATAAGTAATTAAAGTTATTAAAGCTAAATAAGTTGTGTTTATTAAATTCTACAATGGATTTTACATTTTTAATTTAATCCAATTTAGTCATTGTTGTATCACTTATATATAGGAATTTTAGGTACATTTCCTTCTTATAAGCCTAAATAATAGATTAAAAAGTCTGCTCTTTTTCTTGATCTGACTCATAGCTTAGTAATCAATCTTGATTGTACTTCTAGTCATAACCCAGATGATATAAATGTAAATAAAACAATTCTCAAAACATTTGTAACAAAAGTAATTGATTTCCAATTAACATTCTAAGGCATTAGGTACTTCAAAATGTACATAATATGTGAAGTGACTCAGACCCAAACAGCATATGTAAACACCTAGTGTACATGACAATATCAAATTCAGTACTATAATATTATATTCTATATAACCAAAGCTGCCTCTGTGGCCGAACGGTTACGGAAATATTTATATGGCCTACATTTATTTCTCTCGTGAGTTTGGGTGTAATTTGTGGTTGTCTATGTGTGTGTCCATGGCACCCGCAACACAGGGTTTCCCTATGTTGAGTGTGTGTTTTATTATTATTACAGGGTATCTCAAAAAATATGTTTTTCATACAAAATTGAGGACACAATTGCTTGGGCCTGAAGCATGTAATTAGATTGAGTACATTTTAATGTACATTGGGCATTTGGCTATTCCCATTGTAGGTTGCTGGATCTTAGGAGAACCAACAAGAGATTAGAATGGTTTGATACTTATCATGTTCTTAGTTTTTTGCAATTGTTATATGTACATATGCATAGAATGTATGTTAGTTTTTTATGCACACCATCAAGCAAGCATGCTCTAGAAATTAACGAGAGTATGTCAACGACAGAGTGTGTTACAGACATAATTAGGTTACATACACTGTAATATAATTTTGATGTGTTAAGCCCTAACAGTTAGGGTTTTTGTAGTGTTTAGTTTGTGTATGATGTATTGTCTATAAAATTTCTACTATGTCGAAACGATCTCATGCAGGAAGATATTTTTTTTTTCAGTTTCATTCAAAAGTGCATCTTAATGTATTTACCATTAGGTTGATTTTTTAACACTCTCAGGGTCCGTATACAGAAATCCAGTCTTTTTTGCATTGAGACTTTGGTGTTTTAATTGATTCATGACTATAAATAGTTTCTAATGTATTTTGTTGTAAAAATGTCATTAAAACTTTAGTTCTATAAATTGCATGTTCAGTATGTAGGTGTACTGTAATGGTTTTAGTTATTACAGTTACCCAATGAAACTGAATTTTAGCTCTTTTGACTGTGGTTATGTCAGTTTATACTGCTTGTAGAATGTTATTAAAAGTATACAGTCTTACCTGTTCTTTATATGAAAATATATTGTTCCAGATGCCAGTACTATGTCTCGAGGCATCCATGGGTTCCAGCATACCAAGGTGTCATAACCTTTTTTGTTTTGGCCAATTTTACACTGGCCACTTTCATGGACCCGGGAGTTATTCCAAAAGGTATGAAGCCCTTTGAAACTACTGCTTTCTGTTTTGATATTACCATCCTCGCAATATGGGTAAGTGACTGATTTATTGTAAAGATTAAGTAACAAGATCTCACAAATGTTTTTTGCTTCAGCAAATTGCAATATTCATATTGCATAAAACATATGAGGGCGATTTGATAAATGCGTGACTATTAGGTTAAATTTAAAATTAGCTTGAAAATAAAACAAAAAAATTTTAATTAAGAACTCCTTATTAAGTAACCAATGTTACTTTTTTAAATTAGCCTGAAAAAAAAATTAAGAACTTACTAAGTAACAGACGTTACTTTTTAAATTAGGCCGAAAAAAAATTTAAATAAAAGTCGACATATTTTTTAGATTTAACGGAATTTCGAATATTCAGTTTCTGATCTGCAATCAGAATAACAAAACTTGTCGAATTGTGATACAAACTATTGCCGCATCTCCCGTATTCACCAGATTTGGCCCCATTTGACTTTTATGTCTCATTTTTTATTGATTTGCATGAAATGAGAAAGTGATAGCTGAAACAGAGGCTTGTTTATCAGTTTTTATCAGTTTTCCAAAAAAAAACAAAAAAAAAAAACAACTTTTTTTGATGGGTTGAAGAAGTTGGAATATAGCTGGTCAAGGTGTATAGAGTTAAAAGGGGATTACGTAGAAAAATAAGCCATAATTTTTAAAACAATGTTTCTTCAAAAGCACAGATGTATCTTGTACATAACATAATTTGGCTCTAGCAAAGAATAATAGAAAGAGAATCATGTACATGGTGTTCATGATTGATAAGAGAGACAGGTTTTATAAATTCTTTATACAATTACCTGTAATTGCGTCCAGCTTCCATGGATCTGCTTACTGCTGCAGCTTACTGATTAGTCACATAGATAGATTGACAGAAATTTAAAACTAGACCTTTATCTTAACTTTCTTTTGTCAAAAGATCAAGTGGACAGTACTTCTGTTGAATGTATTGTACAGACAGACTATGTAATCATAATTGCAGTAATTTTCTAAAGTCTAATCTTCAGAATCATTCAAGCTTCACGGAAACAGGCAAATATGTTTGTTGTTAAGAAACCATTTAAACTGTAAATCTAAAAACATGTTTAAACCTATTACTTACGTACAGTTACAGTTACAATATTGCAACAACATGCACATGTTTTCAAGAAAATTATTGATACTTTACTGGATATTAAACTGATATATTATAAAGTTTTAATTTGCTATAGCGAACTGTTTAATGAGAAAATTGTAATGTAACGTCAAATACTTGAACTTTAATCTCGACTAGCACAGAATAATTAATATTATAAAATAGTGATATAGTGGTGTTTTTTAGTTGGACAAACAATATTCTAAAATTTGAAATGACTATGGGGTCTGTAAAAATTCCGTGACGCTGGCTTGTTTGAAAAAAATAATTTACGCTATAGGAAATGAAACTATTTTTCCGGATTTAAATCGTATATATTTGTTTTTTCAAACAAACCGAGCGGTTGACTCAACCGTGACCATGGGACCTGTAAAGGGCCCCAAACGTCGGTTTGTTTGAAAAAACAAATATACGCGATTTAAATCCGGAAAAATAGTTTCATTTCCTATGTGTAACAATCGCGAAAACCTAAGAACTCGATAATTTACGCCATTTTAGGTTTGAAAATTTCATTTCCAATGTGTAACAATTGTGAATAGCTAAGAACAAAATATTGTGCAAGGCTTTTTTATTTTGGGTTTACTGTAAGAGCCACTAAATCACAGAGTCATTTACCTGCTTACTACTAATTTTATGGTTACAGTTAGTGATGGAAACATCTGCTAATAAATTATAAACCTTAAAGTGTTTTAAATAAGGAAACTTATAAAAGGACTTTTTAACGGTTTTTAGTTTGAAGCTTACAAAATCACTTAGGACGCCTAATTTGAAGGAGGAGCATTATATATTAAAATTGGGGAAAACTGTTTCTTCAATGATAACAATATTTATGCATTTGAGAATAAAAATCCAAGGGCGCTCGAATAATGTGACTGAAAGTTTATTAACTTACTTTTTTAAATTGTCATTGCTTAGGTTACCAGAAATACTTCACAAAATACTTTGGTACCAAAATGTTATGGGGTTACTAAGAAATACCATGAGTCATGTTCAGAGATTGCAACAGACACACTATATTTACGTTAAACTTCAAGTAATACACATATAGAGCGGACGATACCTCTCACATGATGAAAAATTTTTAAATTAATAAATGGAAACATTTTTACTTATATTAGGTATTTTTTATTCTAAATACACTACCGAAGTAGAGTCATTGCTCGTTACACACCAAAAATATACAATACAAACAAAATACAATACAATAATTCCTATAATACAGACTGCCTATTTTGATATCTGGCCATATCTTATGATAGTTACTTTTCTTAAAAATAATAAACGCCATCTAATTAACATAGCAAGAACTGCTAGAAAAAATGCTTTCCTATTTCGTGAAACTAGTTTTTGTTATTTTTTTTTTACTCACATAATGCCATTGCTTTGAAAAAGCAACTATCGAAATCGGTTCGCAAAATTGAATGTCGAACATAATGGATGTAATTGCGTAACATCCACACAAAAAATACAGTCGAAAGAACCTCCTTTTTTTCTAAAGTCGGTTAAAAAATTGCCACTGAAATTAGTTAGAGAAAACTAACCATAAAATTACTCATTTGATTATTGAGCCGTTGCTTAAGTGCTGAGCGATGTCAGTCATTGATAAGCGAAAATTTAGATACATGGCAAATAACTTGTAATCCATGAGTAATTGATGTACACGGTGGGAGTTATTAGACTGATCAACGCGGAATCGGCTTGAGCCCGACGGAGCTTTAAGTCTTTTTTAAGGCTTATGCGATAAGAGCGAAGAAAGACGTTGCCCGTTTCGCTGCTCGAAACGTCGCACAGTTGGGCCGAAACCCTAAAACTTCACGCTGATTTTGCATACCTAACTATAAAAATATTTATTTATTATTAATGAGCTATGTTTTTAATGCACTTAAATTACTTTTTAGTATGTACTCATATATCGTTATGTTTACATATTCATCATGAATTTTGTTATGAATTTTTAACACATTTATTTATTTTAAATGTTTTGTTCTGAATTACTTAATCAATACTTTCGAAATGCTTTTTTAAATATATCCAACAAATATTCTATTTGTTTATTTATCTACATATGTTAATTTATGCAAATTAAGTATTTACAAACATTCACCTATAACACTGTTTTTTTTAATGGGACAGTATGGGGAAAATCCGATACCATAGAAGACTCAAGGAAACTGTCATAAGAACCATTTACTATTTTTTTGTGAAAACAATTTCGGCATTGACTATGCTATATTAATTATTGGTCAAGCGTGAGTTGTCCATGAAAATGAATCAAATATATCAAATTTTTTTTAGTGCTAATCGTCTCAGCATCATGAAGGGACCATTTCAGTGTATGGGACGAAAAAATCGGGGCAGTCGAAGTTGATCAAATTACATTAAATATTTTTTCATTCAAAATGAATAAAATTGACTAATTTTTTTAACGCTAATAGACTCAGAGTCTTATATGGATGACTTAATAGCATCAGAAGACAAAAATTGGGACAAGAGAAGTTGGTCAAATGTAATAAAATAAAATCCTACAAAATGAATCGCATTTTATTCAATTTGAATGTAAAAGTGGAATGCAATAAACCGGATTCATCCCTTGAATTGAGAACCAAGTCTGATAATTAATTCATATAGACACACCAATGCAATAATGACAATTAAAATACAATGAAAAATCTAAAGTAGTCGAGAACAATGCAATACACAACGCACAAATTAGAAGAAACCTGCACAATGGCATTGTTTGTCAAATAACCACTGTAAAGCCGGATTGGGGATCTTTGTAATAATAATTATGACAAACTAGTGGAGTAATTTCACAAAAATAACTGAATGTTATGGTGGTCAAACATCGTGACATTTAATAAACTTAAAAATGAAAATAACGCTACAAGGGAAGTGTAGCCATTTACGCGCCGAACAAGCGGCAGTTGCCCTTGTTGTTTTTATACTATGATATATTAAGAGTTGATACTACCTCAGCTCGTTTGCTATTTTTACCCCTACTAATACGTTTCATTATGCTTGGATCGAGCGGCAGGGCCACTGGCTTTATTTCAGAATTTATTTTTTTACAAACGAAATTAACACGTTCGCCGCCGACTAGAATTTTCAAAAATGTTCAAAATATAACATTGGCTTATATAACTGTTTTTGGTCTCATATGTATAT